AGTACCCCGTTCCCTTATTCACTTCCCGATTTTATGCGATAAAATGGCGGTCGAGATTCCGCGAATCTGAGCAGCGATGGTAATCGAAATTATTCGAATTCCCGGTTTGCGAATTTAAAACATGAATGCCTCGTCCCTTAGTTCTTCGTTAAAATCGTTCGGCTGAGAAAAAAGCGCGGATTCCTGACAGAAGGAATTCGTGATTGGCTGGCGATTCGATTAAGCTTCCTGATTTGTCTCGATCTCCCGGAAATGTTTCGCGCGATAATGTCTCGCTGTGTTTCGTCCTGCGGGTGGCAGCATATATCCTCCAGATACGTAATTGTCGTTATAGAAAGAATGACCGGTAGTATTTTATACTTGATTTTTACAGCGTCGTGCGCTGGAACGCTCTTTCCAAGACAGAGTGTAGCTGTCTCGAGCAAATGGACTGGTAATGGATGTGAACTCATAAAAGGAATTTCCTTTAAACTCATAAAACGCATTTATATGTTTGCATTTCCTGAATAAGGACAAAAGTCGCTCCGATATAATATAACCCATGAAAAAGAAAATAAATTTTTGTATCAGTGAAATATGTTATGATATACAACCAGCTTGTATATAAACACACATATTTTAGTATTGTTTTCTGATGATTAGTATTGATAAATAAATTATGTACATACATAAATAACGGCGTATTAAGTTATTGGCAAACGTAAATTACATGTTGCTATAAGAATTATTTATAATTATGTGGAAAAAGAAAAATATTACGAATTGATTTTAAATTGTTTATTTTAAATTTGCAAATTTTTTTAAAAATTCGCAATAATAATAGAAATAAAATTAAACGCGTTAAAGTTTTAACACAATTTAGGTAACAACAAGGAGATAAATAATGAATTCTTCAATCGTGACATAAATTTATAATTCCAAAGATAGTATTTGACAGATATATATTTCAAGTTTATGAATATCCCATCATACAGTTACAGGAATTATGGTGCGCACAGGGATATATTAGGCTGCGTTTTCTCTCGGAAGTTATGCTAACTAAGACCGGATTAGACATGCAAATCACTGAACTACACGAGAGTTCCCACTTTTCGCTCGATGCATAATTATCGTGCAGAGAAACGCACACTTGATAGATATATTCTCTCTCTTGACTTTAATGAAACATAAATTGTGTTTCACATAGAACACTATATATTTTATAGCTTTCTCTCGTTTTAAGTATAAATATATATTAAATATATATTAATAAAATATTAAATATATATATATATATATATATAAAATTAAATATATATATTAAATATATATTAAATATTATATATATATATATATATAATAGATACGTATATGGAAACACTTAGATACATATTAGAGAACATTTATATTGTTGTTTTTGAAAATATGATGTTATTATTTTTAAACATAAGTCATGTTTTAAATGTGACAAATTAAAATTATTTCATTACATTTCATTTAACATAAGAAAAGTTTTTTATTCTTCTTCAAAGAGTTTGGAAAAAAAGATTTTTCTTTATGAAAATTACTAAATATATATTGTATGGATTACTAATTCACTTCAATTTATTTACTATAATTATTTATATAGTCACACGAATAATATCAATAACTAATATTCTTACTTCTCTGTTCTTTTGCCTCATTTTTTATCTTATACATATATAACAATTCTATCTGCTTTACTACTTTTTTTCTATATTCGTCGATTGTGAAATAGCATAAACAGTGCTGAAATTGTAAGATGAAAACACGTGCTTGCGATGTCGTTAAGTTTTATAGTTTTTCGTCGTTAACATCGTCGCGCCGTTTTACGCTCATCTTTTACTGAGCCACTCCTGTTTTAAAAAGCGCGATTTAACGGGTCGGCCACAAACAATCAATTTTCTTACAAAACAATTAGAGTGACTCGAACATTATTGCGTACAATTGTCCTCCTCTTGTAATTATATCACACAAATAGAGATTAAAATATAATACAATGCAATTAAAAAAATAATAAAGATATATAAAACAAGCAAACAAATCACGGAATCATGCAATAATACGAATATTTTTATCTAGAAAAAAAAAATAAATTGGGGAATTTTCTTTTGCCATAAAGATACCGTCTTAAAGAATAGGGGTCGCGTTTCTAAAGTCGCGACTTGTAAATGGCATTTATCTCGAAAGTCGTCCGGCTCGGAATCCGTGTGACTTGCAAAATTGCATAGCACTTTGCAACGGAATTCCATTCCGCTCCCATTCCGTGACTTTTATCCTGTGTATCCGGTTACTTTTGCATCCGGTTCATCGGCTTGTGCATCACTAGAGCGTATTTTTCAAGAGAATTTTTCGTAAAACGAGCGTGCGAAACAAGATTGCCGGTATTTGTCTCCTCTGTGGAAGACGGACGGATCATTGCTCGCGTTCAGGGGATCTCGCTTTTCATAGAACGGGACTATAAGGAGCGATATCGCGTGTAAAAAGACGCAGCCGAGGTAGGGTCGGATCGCTTTTGGCTCTGGGAAAACGCGAACAAGCTTTATCCTACGATCCAAGATGGCTTTCTGCAAAAGAAAGATTTATCTTCAATAGCTACATCCGATGACTCAATTAGTTTTTCTCCCGCAAAAATTTGAGAGTATATTGAGACAAGAGAACGATAATACTTTTCATGGATATAATGTGAACAGGATTTTCACTGAACGAAAATTAGAACTCTAAAGAGTTTTCGGACAAACAAATAAACATTTAAAACGCTATATAACTTTTCTCATGGGAAGAGCTTTAAAATATATATATTGTATATATTTTGTATATATTTATTTTAAACATCAGTTAAATAAGTGTTATATAAAGCTGATAAATATATTTTAAAAATGATTAATCGAATAATATATTAAAAGACGAAGTTCCTTGTTTATAAAAGGAATCTAAAAAAGACTTTTCTATATCAAGAGTTCAATTATGGCAACAATTAGTAGCGTCAGCTTTCGACCTACGTGCAAGATGATTATACAATAATAATTGCCTACGCACGGCGACTCCATAAACCGACGTGCAGTGTTGAACAACGTGCGCCATTATTAATTATCTCGTAGCGCACTCCATCAGCAGCTAATCAATCAGGGTCAGTGACTAATCGGCGTGAGTACGACAATCGAGGTGACGAAATTTGAACTTGCTACACGAGTTCAAGTTTGTTATCAAAAATATCTCAAGAATTGTCATTTTCAAAAAGAGACTTTTTAAAAAGTCTCAAAAAATTTTTTCCTGTATTTTTCTTAATGTGACTTTATGATGTTTTTCTCACTTTACATATATATATGTAATAATAAATTGTCAATAAGATGAGAATAATTAAGAGAAATTAATGATGAAATATAGATAAGTATATTACATATAGCCACACTATTATATGGATTGATTTAAATGAAAAATAAGTTCAAAAAATCTATATAATTTCTGTCAATTTTTTGGATATTCAAATATAAATAAAGATAAGAGAAATATAGATGGAATGTTGTTTGAAGTATCAATGATAACGAAACATAAATATTTTATTATTTAAGATTTCATATTCATATTATCATGTTTTTTTGTTATATTTTATTGTCATTTTTTGTATTTTATATTTTTTATATTTATATTTTATTGTTATTTTTTATTACATTTTTTTATTTTGTCACATGGAATATCTTCTTGATAAAATCCGGTCAAAAATATACGTATGGCAATCTACTACGATTACGTTAGTCAGATCGATTCTGTCTATTTCATTTTTGCTCTGCCAAAGAAAGGAAGGACTACAGATCCAAAGTGAAGAGTTCCTGAACCACAAGTATCTCAAAGTTTCTAAATCGCTTCGGAAGAGTCATGAAAACTCGCAAGGAAAGTTTGGAAAATGTTCTTGAAAACTACGGGGAAAGTATTAGCGGGCACGTAGTACCGTAATACTCAGTGTCCAACTAAATGTACTATCTCTGCTATGATAGTCTTTTGCATAATTTCAGAGGTATACTTTGACTACATAGACTAACATTGTACATAGTATTAGACTGCAAAAATTTTAACTAAAATTTATGTCGAATAATTATTGGCAGATATTGAACTTCACTGCCATAAGAGATAATGATAAAAAATTTTGTTAGAAGCTTTCAACATTAATTTATTCTTTCTCTTTCTACGATGATAGCCAACATAATTTTATTAAAAATCTACATGCCGAAATTACGAATTCAAGGAAATCAAACAAATAGCGAAAGATACTAGAAGTAATTTATTGAATTTATTTGCACATGAACTACGAGCTCGTAATGTGGTTTCCCAAAGGTGCGCTTTGTACATTACAGAAGTAAAAGGACAAGACTTTCCTCGCAAAGTTGTACATTCGTAAATTCCCTGAACGAGAATTAAATTGAAATGCTGTAGTGTTTACTTGACATATACGATGTAGTCTAAAATATTTGCGCGAAAAGCGAAGGTCGACACTTGCCGTTTGAAAAATCGATAGTGTCAACATCGCTTTAAAAAAAATACAGTGAGTGAGTTAAACGTGATTTATATATATATATATATATATATATATATATATATGATATACGTGATTTATATATATGGTATATATATAATGATATTTCGAATATTTCTTATAAATGGCTGTTAACTATAATATTTTGCAATATATCTTATAAGATCTCGTATGCAACTTTTTGCATTTTTTAAATTTAAAACCAAGTAAATAAATATGAGTGTTTACGAATTAATATCAGTAAATTAGCATTATTTAACTAATAATTCTATGACAAATTATTTTACGTTTATAAAAAGTTTATAAAAAAAGTTATTTTACAAATATTGAAAGAGGTTAATAATTATAATGCTAATTTGTATTTATTCACTTGGTTTGAGATTTGAAAATGCTTTTTTGTATTTATCTTTTTGCTAACTCTCGCAATTTCTTTTGCCTACAATTATGGGTAACTTTCATCCAATTACAGGAATGGAACGACGTAAATATGAGATGGAACGTCTCGGAATATGGAGGCGTACGAGATCTCAGAATCCCGCCGCATCGGCTATGGAAACCTGATGTCCTCATGTATAACAGGTAATGTAAAAAATGATATTTTCCTATTTATACATACGTACATCTCCTTTATATTCCTTTGTATCTCAAATAACATATCTTTGAAATAAGAACTGACGTATTCTTAAAATTAAGATTGGCATTATTTGAATGTAACATCTTTCTATGAATTTATTTTACATTTTAAAAAATTCTTGTTCTAGAATATTACTTTAAGATAAAAAGCGATAGTTTATATATTCTGTAAAAATCAGAAATATTGGAAATCGGAAACTCAAAAATATCGTTCTTTATTGTACGCATATAATTATGATCTGTTTCTAATTTTCAATTATATATTATGTAAAATTGTATTAATAATATTCTATCAAAATTATATATAATACAATAATTTATGATGATACTTTTATATATATCTTCGAAATTATATTCGTGATACGTAGCGCGTTCAAATCACGTTAAATATAAAATATAGAGACCGGTTATGTGCGAAAGTCAACTTTGCCATTATTTATCAACTTTTTAAAGTATTTTCGCGATAGAAAAGAAATTTCTTCGATCACATAACAAATGCCACCTTTAAAAATTGAAAAATATCATTTTATATCTATATCGAGTCATTTGCTTTTCAACCGTGCATTACAATATCTAAAACGGTCTCGCTTACTTATGAAAATACATATGATTTCCATTATCGTCCATTAAACATCGTAATATTTTAAAATTGCCTGAAAAACATATATTTGCTACATGAAGGACTAAGCGATGAAATATTTCAATAATTTTGCGTACCATATATTATTCATGTTGGAATTTACTGGATGCAATTTAACGAGGATACGTATTCAATTTGCATATCCTTTTGATTGGTAAAATTCTGGAAATGTAAACACAAAATATTCAATTATATACCATTTTTCAGAGCATCATATTCAAAGTTTTTATAATGCAATTTAAGCGTTTATATATTGTGTATATATATATTATTTCACGAGTTACTGTAATACATAATGTAAATACAATATAAAATACATAAAAGCATCAGGAAAAATATAAAATAAAAATAAATAAAATAAAATAAAAGAATTAATAAAACAAATAACTAATTTTAAAAAGAAACGAAAAATACATACATATTATATTATTATCGTAATTACGTAGTGAGTTTAATATCCCCAAGATATTTCATATGTTTAAATATAAAGTTGAATTATATTAACTTTAAGAACATTCTGTTTATTATTGAAATATTTTATTTATTAGAAATCTCGTTATTATTTGATTTTATATACGTGGACAAAAATTTTATCAATTTTATTAATTATATATCTATGCACACACACATAAATACACACACACACACACACACACACACACACACATATATTTATATTTATATCAATAATAAACAAAATATTCTTAAATTAATATAATTCAATTTTATATTTAAACATATGAAATATCTTGGTGATATTAAGCTCATTACGTAATCACAATCCTCAATAATCGTGATCCTCAATATTTTATCGATTTCATCCGCGAATATTAAAATATAATTGTATAACAACAATGTGTATTATATATTTTTTGTGAAATTTCCAACTTTTAATGAAGGGTATAATGTCAGCACAAATTATTGTCCAAGAAAAGATATATATATATATATATATATATATATATATATATATATTACACATACACACATATATGCTTTACACTGCTAATATGCCAAAATCGCATATATCGATTATGTTTAACATAGTTACTCTTGCACGGTTGTAACCACATAATATAATATTAAATTGCCGGTTTGGCGCGAAACAGTAATATATAGTCACGATGCACCATGATTTAATCGATTAATCAGTTTATGGTAATTAATTTAAAAAATTTTATTAAAAAAAGCAAACCTCTTTCTAAAACGTATACCACGATATGCAGTTTAAAATATAACGCAATTATCGTGGGAAAAAAAAGAAAAAAAGCATTTATGTTTTGCCATGCAACTTAATAAGTGATTTTATACAAAGCCATAATTTAGTATATTTGTTTTTTATTAAATTTTAACATAAAATATATTTATTTTATGTAATAATATTATGTAATAATATGAGAAAGGTGATACATTTATTTTTTATGGGACTTGTAATATTTTACTAGTTTCATGAATATTTATTTGTTTTACATAGTAATTTTAGTAATTTTATCATGATTTAGGAAATTTTTGTATTGTTTAGAAAATGTAACCTAATAAATTAAAAGTATAAAAAAACTAACACAATGCACGCAATCCTAAAATAAAATTGAAAATTTTACATTAATAATAGTAATATTTTTAAATAAAAATCGATCAATTTTTGGACAAGTTATCATGGTATATCATTGTTACATAATATTATTACACAAGTGTTACTATATTTTAAAATGAAAAAAATTTTTCTAAACTTATGATGAAGAAATAAAAGGAACAGAGTACATCCTTTTGCGCTATTCCGTATTTATTTTTCAATAAACGTGTCGTTACAATATACGTGTCGTTACAATATACGTTAATTAGCGTGAAGGGTTAGTCACGTGGTAACGTTATCATCGCTGTACCATTTTTCATTATTTTGTATGCAATCTATTCGCGACAACGGCTTGCATTGTATGCGTGCATGCGTGAGAAAGTTTATAAACGCACCATCGTATACAATACTATCACATTGTTGCGTTTATGTGTCGTACCAACGTCAACGTGCGACCATATAATGTACTGCAGGTCATCGGGTCAGTTACAAAGACGGCTTACGCTCGAAGTGAGTTGCAAATTGATCGATAAAACAATGTCGTTGAATTATTTTAGAGCGAGCCTCGCCGTGTTTTCTCACAGTGCGAATTTACTCGCTATGAATTATTTACACGCCGGATGAGGAGAATTTCCGCTATTTAATTTTCGCTCTTTGCGTTCACTGACAGAGAGATAATGAAAACTTTCATTAAAAAACTTCACTTAACAAAAAGTAAACGGAGAAAATACAAAATATAATCATTTCACTATATTTCCGTTATACACCGTTCTCATTTTCTTCGTTTAAATTGCAAACAGCTCGACACTGTACACATTTTTTTGTTCGCAGTAAATCCGTTGATTGTGTCGCACTTGGTAAATATTATTAACGAAAATATTTTAGTATAATTATATTAAAGAATATTTTACAGGTCGTGCATTTTTCTTTCGATTTTATATAATTATTTGTCTGCGCGGGGAAAATGCTGCTTTAATAAAAAATTATGTTTTAATTGGATAGTTATTTTTCATAACTTTATAATTTTCAATATTAGATATCTCATACCGCATTTTAATCACGATGCAATTTATATTAAAGTTTAAAATTATAAAAACTATGGAGAATATAAAATTTTATTATTTGCAGTGACCTAATTTTTACCGAAACCATACGAGTTTGATGTGAGATGAGCGCATGATGCATCGTCGGTTGCAATGAACGAAGTCGAGTATGTGAACTCTTTTTATATACACGCCGCAGCGTGTGTTTTGTCGGGCATGCACCTAGTCATAATCGGTCTCTGTCGCGTCAACGACGCCTTTATACGATGCATCCGACGTTATTATGTAGCACGGACACCACGTAATATACATATAACGGCGGCCTGAAAGGGGGGGCTTCGCGGGGGGTCAATCGCAAAGATGGTGCACACGCCTAAGGACTGATCGATCACTTAACTGCTTTGTCGCTCCGTCACGGCGCAATTCTCCCGTGTTCCACTTTTCATCCAGGTCCGTACAGATTTCCACGTGCATATCGCCGAGGCAATTTTATCGTGCATATTCCGCGTATAACGTCATACATAGGCAAATCGCCATTTTTCTTGGCTTCGCTTCTAACATTTATGGCGCTAAAAGAAATGCGCGATAGATACTATGTATATTTCCAAGTTAACCGAAGAACGTACTTTAACTCGAAGGGAGAAAGATGTGTATACAAAAATGATACGTGAATCCTTTTTTGACGATAAAGATGTAGATATTACGATTTAAATTTCACTTATAAAAAATGCCGTACATTAAATTTACAAAGTAAATATTAAATAAACGCACTCTGTTAAACGACGCCAATATTATACACCATGTAGTGTGTCGCACGATGCAAACTTGCCGTCATCTTTCGAATACGTCTGAGATGTCGCTAATTAGTGAACAAGCCTTCCGTAGCGTTGTCGCATATCGAGTTTCGAAAAGCGCGACGGTAAATTTCGAAGGGTGATTTACGCGAAAGCTCTAATTGAATGCTAAGTCTGTTCATGTACCTTGAACGCTCGTTATATATTTCTCGCGTTTTCTTATTAACTTATAACCACGTCGCTAACTGTAACGCGATAATTTATTACCCGATACGTAATGTAATGTAAGAAAAACGGGATTCGCCGGAGGCATTCCTTTCTAATGATTCATCCAGAATGATCATCACGAATGCACCGCGTAAATTCGTTTTAAACTATCGGAGGTGGATGCAACGTGCAATGGGTAAAGTGGAGCGCTGGGCCAACTGGGTCACGCGCATTAAAAACAAAGCCACCGCCACCATTTAAAGGGAATCAGGGAAAGTATCTCCACCCGGCGGGATAATACATTGTCGGAAAACGCTTGCGGCCACACCATTGTCTTTAAGTAGGTAATGCATCGGGTGTCCGTCGCCATCGTCGTCGTATTTGTCGAATTAAAACTTCGCCTTGCGATGCATTAGTAGGAACGAATGGCTGGCAAACTTGCCGGCGAAGTAAAACGCTTAATGGTACGATCTCTACGCGGTCGTCGGACAAAAACTTTGTCCGTCGATTTGCGACTTTGATTGCCCGGCTTTCGTTTTTGTCGGATTAATCGGACAATATAAGACTAATTCAATGATAAAGATATCTATTAGTTCTTCATGATAGCCGACATATCGATCAATTTAAATGCGATTTCAGAATCTATTAACACGTAAAATAAATCACAGTTACATTAGAGCAGCTCTAAT